TGGACGATTTCCATATCTCACCCCGAGTTAGGCTCTGCCACGCGTGCTTCGAATACGGAGATTAATCTCCGGCTAATACCCTATAGTAATTTGTTAAATAATATTGCTTCCTCGAATTTATTGTAAATTGTAAGTAATTTGTTAAATAATATTGCTTGTAATTTGTTAAATAGTAGTAATTTGTTAAGTAATATTTCTTGTTTGTATTGAAATTGCTTTATATAAATTTATAATGCTGATAATAAGGACCTCTGACATATTACAATCATATCATATTTTCTCTATGTGATGTTGGTGCAGAAAAATTGCCAGCTATTCTCCAGGAAAACGAATTTAATTTTGTTCATGAAGCGAACAAAAATGTAATTGCGTAGCAGTTATCGGGGGTTGGCGAACGGTAGCGAGCAGGGAGCGGAGCCCTCTAGCATGTATATATATATATAGAGAGAGAGAGAGATTAATAAAATGTTCTTTGTTTTTGGAAAGAATATCGATTTTTGAGGGGGGGAGGAGATAATGATGAATGCGAAGCAATCATGGAGGTTGGATAGCAAGGTCTTTTAAATAGTAAGGGTCCCCTCATCGTTTATGTAACATTCCTAGAAGTTTAAATGACAAATATTTAGGGGGGTCGGTTATTGAAAATAAATGAGAAGCTCCGTAGATGTCATTCTGTAGTGGGACCACTGGCAAGAGATCGAAGGTTTAGAAAAGGCTCCTGGACGGGCTAATGAATGATGTGAAATATGAAGGGGAAAATCTTGGTTTCTCAATAATATGTGTCTCTTCTTCATTTCAGCTTCGTCGCGTGGATCCGGATATTGTGACGGCCCTTACTTGGAGACCCAAATTTGTTTCTTTCACAGACATCCCCAATGGTAAGCCGAGGTTCGATTCCTTTCCCAAATCTCAGATGGCTCGGATGGGTGACATTCTACTGGAGTGGGCATTCCACAACATCCTCTGGTACCTCACTGGTGTCTCAGCTGTTTTAATACACAAAGACTATCTATCTGCGTGAGTACCACCTTTTTTCATTTTATGAACCGCTTCCCTGGATGTTGTATGTATATAGTATTGCAAATCCCGAAGAAACTCGCATTAATTCGTCAATACGTTTTATTTTAATTGCGATTTTATTCGCCCGGCGGAAGCGAAACAAAAAATAATCTGTAGTGATTGGAAGTTTACCCATTTTTGTTGTTGGTGGAAATGCAAACGTGTTTTGTGTTATACGATGGTTGCTGAATTGACATAGGAGTATGTACTATCATTAGAGTATTAAAAGCAATAAAAATGAATTACAATGAAAATTTACACGCTATTTCGGTGGTGAAAAAGCTTCACTGTTGTTCCCTCTAAAACATTTTTTAATGATACTTTAGCAAAATCATAGACCTTCCATGCAATTAAATCACAGACCTTCAATAATTATAAATGCACAAGTAACGTGGTATCGTGCGAGTGAATTTTAAAACAAATTTAGTTTCGAAACCTTTAAGGGGGGAGTGTTTGCATGGGGCTAGAGTTGACAGATGGAATATTTCTGATATGTTATCGATCAAACATTGTCTGTTATGGCTAGAAGGAAAAATTGCGTTACATTTTTATATGTAGTCACAGGACAAACCACAACAAAATTGTTAAATATGTATTTAAAAAAAAAAAATCTAGGTTTTTATGGTGGAAAAGTAACTTGTTAGTTTTTACTTTAACTGCCATTTTACATATTTTATTCAGCAATAGGACAGGAAGAATGAATATGCTTATGCGAACTAAATAATCGAACTTTACCTTAGTTTCGTTACCACTATTAGACTCCTTTTTGTCCCACTAATGCAAATTATTTATTGTGGGAGAAAATTACATAAGTATCATTTTATTTTTATCGACATAGAATTTTTGCCACTAAAATGGCCTTTTAACGAAATGTGTCAACTATAGTCGATTTCCATATCTCACTGATTCATTATATATTTTTATTCCTTGCTTTTGCAATCTACAATAAAAATTAATCTTAGAAATAAATGTGCAAAATAGGACCAAAAAAAATTCAGTATAACACAACTTAAAATGTGTAAAAAAAGGTTTTTGAAACGTGATAGTGAACCAAAAGAAGGCAACTCAAATGCTTCTTTAAAAAATATACTAAATGAGGGAGTGACACATCATAAAAATGGTTTCAAAATGACTACGAAATGAGGAGGAGGCTGGATTGGAAACAACTACTATTGAGTGTTGTTGTTTACTAGTCATCTACGGTACTTCCAAAATAAATAAAATACTAAAAGCAAAAGAATAATTTGATAAGAAGAATCCAAATCTATTTTTGAAAAGACAGATTTAACCAATGATTTCAAGTAATCGATTTATTATTTTAATCAAGTGTTAATCTTTTTTATTGAATCATAAAATTCATGCATTATTTTCTTAATAATATATACTTACATAGAATTAATTAGTGCATACACCTAAAATGTGGCTCGTTTAAATTGCTTCCATTAAGTATATTGTTATTTTATAACTGTCGTTGAACAGCGGACCCAATATTGGGTTTACGACAACTCATGTTCAACTCCGTAGCCTTGTCATTTTGAACCCAATCCAGAAGACAAGGGAACTCCTGGATGGAGCATTGGGAGAAATTGCCTTCGTGGAGGACTTTTTGATGGAACTAACCCGCATTTGCATTACATGGAGGGGAGGGCCACGAGAACCTTCTACGGTTAGCCTGACGGCAAGGGGACTCTAACCCATGATTCGTCTACTACTGAGGATATTTCACGCCAGCACTGTGGTCGGTGCAAGCCGGATGCGGAATTCCTATCGACTGGGATTCGAACCTGGTTCACTTCATTGGAAAGCGAACGCTCTATCCCCTGATCCATCGCGGCTTAGTATATTGTTATTGTACTTCTGATAGCTAGTTTGGAAACGAAATATCATTTAGATTTCTTTAATAGCAGTGGTAACAATGAAGCTTTCGTCGGCACTTTCCAATGGATACACATGTTTTATAATGTTTATTTCAGTGTGCTGCAACCTTAACTTAAAAATTGATGCAGCATTTATTTTCGTTCTTAAAAATGTTTGTCTAATGTTTCGGTGAAACTCTCGACCCCTACATTAAAAATGAATGTTCAAAGGTATCAAGACAGCGGAGGGAAAAGCTATTACTTTGGCAGGGGTTGATTGCAAGCCGAACTCGAAAATTTCTTGACTAAAATCACGAATGAATTCATTTCTTTATAAATTTAAATCATTGATATTTTCGCAACATGAAATTCTAAATAAATTATAAGCAGCATCGTTGAAATGAATAATTTTGCATAAGCTTATTTTCGCATTTATTATTCTACCAGAAAAGATATTTACGAAAGAAAGAAATGCCAAATATAAATTCTAGTTCTAAGATTTTTAAATAAAATATACAAGAATTTTTTATACATAAATGGGATCGATGATTTCTCAAAACTTCTGGACCTTAGATTTCCGAAAATTTCCGGTTCGCGAAACATCCGGATTTTTCCCGGATCATCTCTGCTCTGGAGAGCTCGAAATGTGTGTTTGAACAGAACTCGAGATACGCGTTTTAGAAAATGGACACAGAGGGTTTTTTTTTTTTTTTTAAAAATGGACGTTTGATTCCGTTTTTCCCTCGTGAAAATGTTTCTTTTATCCAAAGAAGTGGCCCATTTGCATTCATTTTTTTGATAAGAACCCTCTAAATATATAATATTACGTACGAATTATCGTTTAGCAACAACATTCATTCATTCATTAGCCTACTTGAGGTCACGTGAACATCCGATTATTGAGACAAAAATTATTCAGTTTCGTTTTTTTTTCCCGTTTTTTTTTCGCGCTTTACATTTTGTTAAACACGCGCATTTTGATCAGTTACAGAGTCATAAATGTCCGAAACTTCAAAAAGTATATTCCTTCAGATGAAAGAGAGAGAGAGTAGATAAGAGATGGCGACCTTATGGCGTGTGAACATCTCATTCAGCTAACGTGGGGGGATGATTGGGAAAAGAGAGTCATTTTGTAAACATTGCAAAACTCATACAACGCGTGTTCAGCGAAGTCTCATAGGGAAGATGGAAATTTAGTTTTATATTCCTTGGCCATATTATTGGAACACGCACCTCAGCTTCTATGTAAAATCTTAATACTAGATAATATGCTTATTCGAACTTTACCTTAGTTTCGTTACCACTATTAGACCTTTTTTCGCAAAATTTTAAACTGTTTCAATGCAAATTATGTAGTATCAGGTGATACTATGTAGGATTATTGTTTTGACCCGGCCGTTCGTGTATCAGCATTGCATTGCATTGAGTTAAAAATAAATACAAAAAATATCCTGAACAGAGAAACCCATTACGTTTAACTATAAACTTGTGCAAATCAAGTGTCTCATAATATGATTATAATTATGACACTATACTAATGTAATACCTGATATAAGAATACATCGCCTCATTTAACCAATTGATACAGTGAGTAGAAGCTGTATCATCACCTTCATATTTTAGATGGTGGAGTATGGACTGAGGAGAAAGCAAATCATTGTGTTTGATCACTTATTTTTAGTTTCTCTCCTATCCTTTCGAGTATGGTTTTTATGAGACTGTGTCTGGTATAGTATTGAGCTTTTGACGATCTTTGAACTCTTTCATATTTTAGCGAGTGTTTGTATCATATCAACCTCCTGTGTCGATTATAATGTAATCTCTAAATGTAATGAGGCTTGGGCAAACATTCATTACAACTGTACAAGCCATCAAATTATAGAGTGACTCGATTGCGAGTCATCTAAATAGAGACGATTTTATACCCATATATCATTTTATCAGATTGATCCATTTTGTACGCATGCAACGGATGAATGTAATTAAAATGTACGAAATGCATGTGTAGGTAAATAAGAAGATAAGAACCACCCTAAATAACTTTTGAGCGAATCTTAATGGTTGAATATGCCAATTAATGACTGATGTATGTTAATCAGACCTCAAAAACATCTCTAAATACCTCGACTGTTAAAGGGGCAATCTGGAGAGCGGTCCTTAATTTTACTTTTCGCCATATATCGACACTTTTTTAAGTGAATAGAAAAAATTTTGTACACAATATCGTTTACCCAAAAGATTCTATCCAAAAATATTTTTCATATTTATGTTTTATTTAATAATAGTCGAAACATTTTAATTGTTAGGTTTACAATTTACCCCCCATCATTTTTAAAGTACGTCATTTTAAAAAGCAAACTACAAAATTTGAGCAAAATCGGTCGTAAAGAAATCGTCGTAAATTAAAAATTCGTTTTCTCAAGAATTATTCGACTGCTCAAATTTTGTTTTTTGTCATGTAAAATTGCATATTTTAAAATCATGCATATCATAAAGTAATTTAGCTTACAATTCGAAATCTTTCCGACTATTTTTAAATAAACAATAAAAATTCTTAAATATTTTCAAAAATATATTTTTTTGCGTGGAATTATCTTTGTATCAGTGTTCAGAAGTAACGAAACTGCTGTAGTTGCTACTTTTTTCGTTGTTTGTAGTGCCGTGTGCTGCTTTTTTAATTTTTTTAAAAGAAAAAGTGGTTTGTAGCTTTTAACATTTGTTTAGTAGAGAAACAAGCAACTAATTTTTCGAATATCATAGATACAAATCTTCAATATCCCTGTGGCCGAGCAAAAAGAAGAATATTTAAACTAGCAATTACGAACATAAGACAATTTATTACTTTGAGCAATTACGAATCAAAATGTTATTTCAATGGAAGTATTTTCTTTGTTAATTTCAATGCAAAGTTCTATTAAAAAAATATGGACCACTACGAATAACTTTTGGTCTAATGATTGGATCTTCATAGCTCAATCTTAATGGCACAATGGATAACTTCAAGTATGCTAACAGACGATAATTTAAGTTATGAAAGTAGACACAAAAACGTACTTTCTCTAAATATACATACTTTTTTTTTGTGAACGGATATCTGACCTCCAAAATATAGGGAGTAGCCGCAATCTAGGAAATAGTTAGGTGAGAAGAGTGCTCCAAAGATTGGACCCTTAAATGTTAATTTCTCATTTCGCTTTATATCGATAACTTTTTAAAGCGAATTAAAAAAAAACACAATAATATAAAATACGTTTAGCCAAAGATAATTAAATGCAAAAAATAACTTTTAGAAAATGTTTCTTATTATTTTATTTAACAATGATCGAAAAAATTTTGAATTGTAAGGTATTCAATTTTTTGCATCATTTTAAAGAATATAATTTTGTATGGAAAAATACAAAATTTGAGCAAAATCAGTTGACTGATATTAATACCCTTGAAATTGAATTTCAAAAATATCAAATACATAACATTCGATTTCTCAAGAACTATTTGACTGATTTTGCTCAAATTTTGAATTATAAATATTACATATATTGTACAAATGAAAAAAGTTTTTACTTATATATATATATATANTAGAATTTCTACCCTTATCCTTTACTAAAGATATTTTATGAAAAGGAATGAAGTTTTAATGCTTTTATTAATACAAAAGTATTTAATTTTTGTATTACATATATATGCTTTTAGCATTCATTCGGAAGACAACGTGTATATTTACGCACATAATGCATGCTTATATGCATTATGTGCACATACGTACGCACATACATTGACTGTGCATGCATACGTACAAAACATTGCATTTGCTTACTAATATATGCTTACATGTATCGCACATGCGTACATACATATGAACCTGTTTGTATGTACAAACAGAGGCGTTTATGAATACATATTTATACCTACATTGTATTTATATTCTTACATTCATACATTTATTGTGCATGCATAGATACATACAAACATAATGCGCATATATACAAACATTGTATTAGCCCTACTTACGTTTGTACATGCGTATACTACATATTTAAGCCTACATACATGCGTTTGAATTGCATATGAACGTACATTATCCGTGCCTAAAAAATGTAAGCACATACATACTGTATTTACATATAATATGGAATCTTATTATGTACCAGTCATTTTTTCTTGTTGTGATTATTTGGAATCATGATCACAGCTTTAATGTAAATTGTTGTAAAATTGATATTGTAATCACTATTACAGCTATAATAAAAGTTGCCATTACGATTACAGTTGTAATCATGTGACTATGATATGTTGTACTCATGATGTCATTTGTGACTGTAATCGTATAATGGAATCGGTTGCATTTTCGTCCAACCCTCATCTACGTCCACATTAAAAGTATTTTTTGGAAGCCTCTTTCTCCTTTATTAACAATTTAAAAGAAAGTATGTTCAGGCGTAAGTTTCAATAGAGTACTTTTTAACACATTAAAGCGCAAACAAATTATTGGAAGAGAATGTCTCTGAATTGGTGATGAAGGAGAATTAATTGAATGTGTTGTTGTTGTTTTCAGTGAATATGTCCGCATGTGGAAGAAGAAGAACATAGAGGTCATCGCCTGGACACCCAATCACCGAATCGAAAAAGAATATCTGCGAAAAGTCTTAAATGTGACCCTCATCACTGACACTCTTCTTTGACGCCTGCTTTTTCACTCTAACACCAGAATTATTATTCAAATCAATTCTGTTGCATGCGCAAGTAATCATTTCATTGCATATGCAACATTGTCGCTATTGTGTTTAAAAATAAAGACAGGATATCTGCCCCCACCTGGAAAGTCATGAATTTCGGTACTGAACAAAATTTGTCATGATTTTAACTATTAAAAAAAAAATTCATGGATTTAGGTCACCGAAAAATCTCATTTTTAAAATGTTATCATAATGCTTTTTAAAATGTATTTTTTCGGGAGAAAATAATAATTTCGTTAAGTCATGAAAAGTTCTTGGAATGAGGGATGAATTTGAAAATCTAAAATGTAGCAGATACCCTGTAAGGATAATTTTGTAAGCGTTATTTCAGTTCAACCTATTTATTTCTTATAAGCTCCTTATTTCCTCTCTCTCTCTCTCTTACTTATAAACTAAAATTTATGCTTCGAAAACAATTTCGATAATCATGCTTGTCAATCAAACGGTTATTAATCAGAATCATTTAAGGAGCTTTCTTTGTACACTGGACCATTCCATTGAGAAATTTAATTTCACTCTGATATTTACATAATACTATATTAAGAACAAAGCGTATGTTTTTTTTATTTATTTATTTTGTTCCAATTAGCATATCATTTGTACGTTATTGTATTCTTTCTTTTGTTTTTATAAAACTGTGGGTATTGAGTTGATATACATTTTACAATTTAAAATTAACGCCAAAGACATTTTTTCAATGTATGATTTAATGTTTATGTCTTATTGGAGAAAGTGTACTTCAAATTTTATATGCTAATTTTTATACTGCATAATTATTATGTAATAAAATTTATTGTATCCTGGCATTTATTTTTTTACTTCACACAAAATGCCTCACATATTCAGTAGAAACCTGTAAAAAAAAGGGGGGGTATTTTTTTTTAATGAATTTAACAACGATTGGAATTAACTTAACATACTTTCTTTAGCATAATTCACTTCCGTGCTTGTNTCACACAAAATGCCTCACATATTAAGTAGAAACCTGTAAAAAGAAAGGGGGGGGGGTATTTCTTTTTTAATGAATTTAGCAACGATTGGAATTAACTTAACATACTTTCTTTAGCATAATTCACTTCCGTGCTTGTGTTATATTCCTGTAGCTTTCACATTTTTTAAGAAAATCAATTCAATATTATCAAAAAAGCATTTTTTTTTTTTTTTTTTAGACGGAGTCTTGCTCTGTCGCCCANAGTTTTTTTTTTTTTTTGAAAATTTCAAAGAAACATTTTTCGTAGTTGCAAATTTTTTTAAAACACAGAGTAACATATATTTATGTATGAAAAGAGGAATTAGTTTTTTAGAAATTTTTTGAAAATAAAAGTTTACCATCACTATTTAGTAAAAAAAAGTTTGAAGTAAAATTTTCTGTCGTCATCAGCCCCGAGACATTGGATAAGCGAAAATTACTTCCGTAAATAAGTAAGCAAAATCGAAATAAAACTAATTTTATTCTAGAAATTCAGTTTTCAATAAATATTATTAACAATGGTTTATTTTTTTAATGTTATGAAGCTTAGTGAATATGAGTTCATGCTTAAAAGTTGAACTATATAAAATTCAACTGTAAAATTTCTTTAAATTCCTACAACATTCGTTTTAATAATTTTTTAGTGTCACAAAATTATAAATTTCGTTAGGTTTTATTTTATGGAGTAAGATTAAGTCAATGTTAAATAACAGCTGATAGACATTAATAATACTTCTGAAATGCAAATTGCTTCAAAAAAATAATAATAATAAAATTACACAAGAAATTAATATTTTTAATTGAAAATAACTTAATGAGATGAACAGGTTTTGTCAACTTGCCAAAATTAATAAAGAAACTATGTAAAAGCACTTCTCTCAAAAATTGCAATACAAATCTAAAATTTTTTTAAATTCCTAAGAGAAAAATCTAAATTCTAAGAGAAAAATTCTAAGATTCCTAAGAGAAAAATCTAAATTCTAAAATCTAAAAGAGAATTTTCTAAAATGTTTGGCAAATATAAATTAATTCATTTGCCTACTAAATTAAAATTTTTCTTTGTACAGTGCGTCTAAAAACAAAAGAAAAAAAAACGGCCCTGAATGACTTTTGATCTAATATAATCGGATCCTCTCGTTCTAGCACAACTAGCTAATGGCTCAAGGAGGTGACCTCAAATATGCTAATTAATTGGTGCAGGCTATATTTTGGATTACGAAATAAGACACAAAAACGTCCTTTCTCTGAATAAACATACCTTTTTTTCCCGACGTATTCGGATTTTTGATTCTCATAGTTTGATCCGAAGAGAGCTGTCCAAAGTTTGGACCCCAGATGTTAATTTTATTTTTCGCCATATTTCAAGATCTTTTTAAGCGAATTGAAAAAATCTTTGAACACAATTATAAAATTATCGTTTTTCCAACAATAAATCCATGCAAGAAGCAAATTTTAGTAAATGTTTATTATTTAATAATGGTCAGAAAAATGTTAAATCGTAAGGTATATAAATTTTTACATAATTTTAAAGTATCTACATAGCAAAATACTACCATTTCTTTAGGAACTACTCTCTTCCGATTTTGCCATGTAAATTTATATACTTTAAAATTATGTAATATACCTTACGATTCAACATTTTTCTGACCATTGTTAAATAAAATAATAAAAATTTACTTAATTTTTTTTTTGCATGGATTTATTTTTGGAAAAACGATAATTTTATAATCGTGTCCAAAGATTTTTTTCTATTCGCTTAAAAAGCAAACTCGTTTGAAAAAAATTAAATTAATATTAGAAGGGTCCAAACTTTGGATCGCTCTCCTGACCAAACTAAGGGAACCCTATGTTTTGGAGGTCAGAAATCCAAATCCGTCGAGAATAAGATGAGTTTAATTCAGGGAAAATACGTTTTTGTGTCTGATTTGGTAACTTAAATTATCGTCTGCGCTATTTAATGTGAGGATCTGAGGTCACCCTTTGGAGTCCTAGAACATGAAGATCCGATCATTAGATCAAAAGTCATTCAAGGTGATCCTTATTTTATTTATTTTTTTGGCGCACTGTACTACTTAAGAATTAAAAAAGCAAACTACGCACGTGGTGCCATAAATAAAAATTTTTATTAAAAAGGAAAAGAAAGAGGCAAATGGATTATTTCTGGAGAAATTAGAAGCATCAACACATCTGATGTCTAAATTTGGTGAAGATATATTACGGAGTGGAGAGAGGATATCCCAGAAGTGCAATGTAAGCATCCATTCCCAGAAAGATAAATCATTTCGATAGACCGAAGTGAGTGATTGTAAGTTTTTTTTTACAGACGATCACTTCATTATAAAGAGTTTCCGAATTTCGATCTGTGAGAAGAACGTTATTAAATGAATGTTCCGATTAAGAATTTCGTTATTGGCCGCAGCTGCGTTGCTCTTGTTTGAGTCAATCCGGAATAACTTTTTCATCCGATTTATTCGTATGCCATCTTAAAGATCCGTACTTTCTCTGAATCTTCGGAAGAGGGTTACATTCATAATGATGAAACTCCACTTACACTTTATCGATTAATTATGCTCCAAGAAATTAACCAGTTTCCTGTGTTCTTTTGATGTGAGAATTTCTTGATCGAGCGGATGTTATGCGCGGAGTGGAAAACCTGCTAATTAAATTTTTGTGTTTGTTTGTTGGTTTTACGTATTCTAAATTTTGATTTAAAAAAAGAAAACAATACAATGAGTATAAATCATCAGGCAACGAGATTCAGTTGGGTGCTCTAGCTAGTCGCAAATGGGTTGAAATTAGAATGGGTGATTGTAATTTTATCGTCGTTTAAGAAAAAAAAATGGCTATCAGTCTATTAAACTTATTTAGGAAACAAAAGTACTTTTACTGTTCTTCAGTACATAGTTCCAGGTGAAATTCGGCAGCTCTAAATAGTCAGAAATGAGTCGAAATTTTGATGGGCGATTGTAATCCGATTAAAGAGAGAGATAGAAAATAGCTAGCCATATTTAGGAAACAATAGCAATTTATAATGCTATCCAGTATAGAGCTGCTGTTGAAATGGGAGTACTCTAGCCGATCAGAAAAGAGTCGATTGCAAAATTCCGTTCATGAAAATGTAATAATTAAAGAAGCTTCTGGTGGAGGAAATAAAAAATTTCATTTGCTTAAGTGTCATCCTAATTTCTTGGTATTCTTAGATTTGAGCTAAATATGGTTTTATTACTAGATGAAGCAGCTCTCAAAATAAAGTCTGTCCGGCATAAGCGTTTTCTTTTTGTTCTTTAAAGCTGCATCCGTTATATTCTTGTTCATCACATCGTTTTTTGGATAAAAAAGGGCGCCGAGACACCTTGGCCACTTAGATTACTTTGTGTCCGAGAGTTTATCAAAGTGAGAATGAAAACAATGGAGTGTGTTCTCTCTCAATGGAAGAAAATGGTTGCACTTGGCGACGCTCCTTTGGCGCTCATTTTAACCCCGGGAACACAGAACTTTTTCGAAACAATCCATACGACATTAATTTTATTCAATTAACATGTTGAATATATTAAAAAACGAAGTCATCAAAAAGTAACAAACATTTTATGTCACAAAAGTTATCATACACTTTAAATATTTTCTGATAAGTTCATAATTAAAAGTCATTTTTTTGTTTTAATTACTTTTCATTTATTATTTATTTTTGCAATTTAGTTGCAAAATTGGATTTTCGCTCGCTAAAGCCAATCTATTAAAAATGGCTCGTCATAAAGCAACAGACAATATTTGTCATCATTCGTGTTAGGGAATATAGCTAAATTATTTTATGCAACTTTACTATACTATGTGATAAAACGCTTAAAAGAATTAATTAATTTTTTTTTATAACCAATTTTTGGGTTTACGACTCCGTAGCCATGTCATTTTGAACCCAATCCAGAAGACAAGGGAACTCCTGGATCAAGTATTGGAAGAAATTTGCCTTCGTGGAGGACTTTTTGATAGAACTAACCCGCATGTGCGTTACATGGAGCGGAAAACCTCCCAGGACTCTAACCCATGATCCGTCTACCTCTGAGGATATTTTATGTCAGCACTGTGGTCGGTGCAAGCCGGATGCGGAATTCGTATCGACCAGGCAACCCCGGTTCACCTCATTGGAAGGCGAACGCTGTATCCCCTGAGCTACTCAAGAACTAAAATTTGTGAAAAATTCCTAAATTCACGTAAAGAGCAGAATTTAATGAATGCTTCAGATGAGTTTTCAGAGCAGCTGGATATAAATGGGTCTTTCAAAAACTTAGCTTAGAATTTTCTTCTCAATGTTAAGTAGATCTCTTCTTAAGGGATCGGTCTATATTGGAACAGAAAAAATTAGGAATTTTATTCTTTTGTTTGACATGTGTTTATGCATCATTTAGCATTTATTGATGCAGGATAGTAGTGATTAATTTATCAAAACACGTGATTAATTTTCCAAAAAAAAAAGATAAAATACATAGCACTTTTCTGTAGTTAGGGGGCCGTCCAAAAAGTACGTACACAAAAATGGCGAAATTTTAAACCCCTCCCCCCCCTTCGTACATTACCGTACATAAGGTCTTACCCCCCCCCTTAGAGTACGTACATTTTATTAGTCTACCCCCCTTTTTCATAAAAATTAAAATAATTATGTTTTAAATAAAATTAAATATTTACTTAAGGAGTGTGTAGGATAAAGTCAAATTTAAATTTGGTGTATGTTTATAAAGTACGTACTTTGTATAATACCTCCCCCCCTCCCCATCGTACAAAACCGTACATAATAGCAAATCCCCTCCCCCCCTTCGGGATGTACGTACTTTTTGAACGGCCCCTAGTATATGCATTTTTGTGAATTCAAGTCACTTGTGTACAGTTCATGGCCATATTATGAGTATCTATGTAAATCTTAATCTTTACATAGAATAATCTTATTCTATGTAAAATCTTAATGATCAGGTGATACAGCTTCATTGTTTTGACGCGACTGTTTGCACTTGTATACGTCAGTGCAATGCAATACGTTAAAAATAAATGCAAATAGGAAGCATATCTTGAATAAACATGTGTGTTTTGATATAAAAGTATTGCTTACAAACTCTTGAAAAACATGTCATTATTCAAAAACTATTAATTGGGTCTATAATCATTAGAATATAATTCTTGATCTAATAAATATTCTATATAAAATATAGTCTCATTTATCCTATCGTCTAAATTTATATTATATCTTCTATTTTAACCGATTGATACAGGAACGTGTAAACAAGTGCAAACAGTCGCGTCAAAGCTGTCTATAGAGTATATCACCTGATCATTAAGATTTTACATCGAATCTTAAGAGTGAAGTCTCATAATATGGACTGTAGATTGAAGTAGTTCAATTTTATTTAATTTTTCATGTTTCTTACATAATCAGATTAAATAACCAGAGATGAAGGAAAAATCAAAATAAATTGTTTGTTTAAAAATCCTCGATATAATGAAGCCCGTTAAGACCAGTTAAAATTTCGGATAGGTTATGCTCCTGATTCATAATTTTTGCAATATTAGTCTCTCTTTTTTTTTCTTCTTTTTGCATTGACAATTAATTTTACTACGAGGCGCATCCAGAAAGTAAGTTTCCCTATTTTTTTAAAAAGAAGAACTCATACTTTCAGGAACATATTTATTGGCAACAAGTACAGCAATGTTTCAGCTATTTTTTAATATAGCCACCACCAGAATGGAGACACCTGTCGTATCGTGGGATCAACTTTTGTATCCCTCTGTCGTAGAACTCTGCCGCCTGTGAATGGAACCACGTGGTGAAACAGTAAACGCTAACCGTTACTGTGAAATTGCGACGTGCCATTCAAAACAAGAGGCGTGGAATGCTTACTGCAGGTGTTGTGCTCCTCCATGACAATGCTCGTCCACAAACGGCTCGACGCACAGAAGCTGTTCTGACGAAATTTAGCTCGGAGTTGCTTGATCATCCACCCTACAGCCCTGATCTTGCTCCCAGCGATTTTCATGTTATCCTGCACCTCAAGAAATTCCTATCCTCCTGTGAGCGTTTTGGCAACGACGAAGTGCTGAAGACATCTGTCACACGCTGGTTCCATTTACAGGCGGCAGAGCTCTACAAAAGTTGGTCCCACGATACGACAAGTGTCTCAATTCTGGTGGTGACTACGTTGAAAAATAGCTGAAACATTGCTGTAATTGTTGCCAATAAATATGTTCCCGAAAGTTTTATATAATTCATGCAGTTTTGTTAACACTAGATTATAGATCTTACTACTAAATATTCATTCTGAAATATTCATTTTAAGTAATGGATAGAGTAAGTAATGGAAATAGTAAGAAAATCGCGTCATTTTAAAATAATTTCGAGACAAAATAACGCCAAAGGTATTTCCTATGAAATGTTCTGTTTAGGATCATTTTTAGCAAGTTGGCTATCACTTTGGCGACAAAATGATAGCTGTGGTAACACCCAATTTTAAAACGATCGGACTAACATGTACGGATTCCGGTAGGTGCTAGAAAAAATAAGAATGCTAAATGTTCAGTTGAATCCATCTAAATCCATAGTTACCTTCCCCCGTGAAGTTAGTTACCTTCGACACATTATTATTACAGCAGAAGGTGTAAGGAAGAATCCAGAAAAGATTTCGGGGAATTGAGAACGCCTGTCCATCCACTGGGATGTTTTCTTGGGTTTTGCACCTACTGCGGGTCATTTGCTGTCAATAGTTGCCAAACCACTCCACAAGCTGACAGAGATTAATATATAATTCTTGTGGACAGAAGTATGTGAAAATTCTTTTAAAGAATTGAATATAGCCTTCCTATTTAGGTGCCAGCAACGAAAGCTGTTTTTATCACCGGAAATCGTCATTGAAGAACATAAAACTTAATGGAGTCAATCCAAAACTGGAGCGAAACAACCAGAAAAGAACTGTTCGTCATTGCCATCGATCTCTACGGAAGACTATTCTTGCTCGCCTCTTTAACCTTGTTTCTTTGAAAAATCCGGAAGGTCAGGTAGCACCAGGAATATAATTTCGGGATTCGTCTTTGCAGAGAAATATAGAAAATGTGAATCTGACGACGAACGAAACCTGAAATGTCAAACTGTCTTGCAAGTGACCACTTTTGAGGGAATGAAAATACTCATAAAGAAGGTTCGTGAGACGGTTTTGTGATAGCTGTGCGGCTCGGTAGTGACCGAAGAGCCTTGAAATCTTTAGGTGCGGTATTTAAGCACTTGACATCTTTACTTCGATCTCCAAGTGGCAACTTATAGATTATTTTGCCCGATCAAGAAGATACTGCGGAAGTCTGGGTGCAAGAATAGGTGTGCATCCTTGCAAATTCATTCAGGCCAAGGAACGAATTCTGCTATTTTAAAGGGTTGTGTGACATTCTCAGACGACGCCGAACCATCCCCCCTCACACATCAGGAACTGTTTCTGCTTGCATATCGCAGTTCACTCTCACTTATAGCTGTTTAGTCATGAACTTCCTAGTTATCTTCCTAGTTACCGGAAGTAAAGGGTGCTTCCTACACAGTCCTTAATATAAATATATCTAAGATTCTACGTGAAATCTTAACTCAACAGCTTTTAATGCGACTGTCTGCACTTGTTTACATTCGGGCGATTATTCAATGAACCTTCAGGCCTTTTGTCTTGTGCAAACAACTTTTTAAACAATTGCGTTTAAATAAATGTGTGATTTCAAACATGTGAATATTTTTCTTTTATGAGCTTTACTTTTGGAAATGAATCATTTCAAAACAAGTTCTGAGATTTTTATTTTTTTGAATTCTTACTAGATTTCCGGCTCTTTATTTCAAGCCAAATTTAAAAAAAAAAAAGGAGCGAAGACAAATTTCTCTTCATGGGATAATTGTTCGATTAAACTAATCCGCATTTGCGTTATATGAAGTTAAAAACAAGTTATTTTTAACCCATGATTCATTGACCACTGGAGATGTTTGACGCAAATGATCCGTCATTGCGAGCGAATACATGAATCGACCCCGTCACTGCTGGGATTCGAACCTGAGTCGTCCTATTGAGGGATACGAACGAGTGCTCCATCTCCCGACTCTTACCCAAAATTAGTTTCAAGTTTCTTAACTTAAACAAAACATTTTCGTCACCATAAAAATGATAATAACATTCAAATGGACATTCATTATTTGACAAAATATCACACATATTTGGTAAATAAATTATAAAAAGGAAATATAAGAATAAATCGCCACATTAAAACACATAAGTTAAAAATACAATGAAAATAAATAGTTTCGGAAAATAAAATAGATTATTTTGGTTTTAGAGCTATTAACTATTTTTTTTAAAAAAATAATAATAATAAAAATGCAGAACTTTTTCTTCGCCTGTCATTTAGAATTCTTTGAAATGTTTCCTTAAAGAAAATAAACGAAAAATCAAAATATCGCCAAAAATGTGATGAACAACACGCCATTTCATCCATTTGTAGATGAGAGGAGAAAGAAAAAAATGAAAATGGTGCGCCATCGGAATTGCTGTAGGGTTTGTGAAAGATATGAAAGAAGTGACAGGAACACTTCAAAAAAAAATAATAATAATAAAACAAACAAACAAAACAAAAAAGTCATATTAACTAGAAAAACATGGAAGAAGAAAAAATCATATATGCCACCCAATTTCAAAAGACACAAGTGTTTGTGAAACACTTTCAAAAGGCTCCGTTTTGGATAAACATATACTCGACGATATTCCGGCTCTCTTTTTCTTATAAAAAGCCTCACATCCATTCACCATTCATTTCAAATATTTCTTTACTTGTTTCTCCTGAAAATCTTCTAGTGTTCATTTGTTTTTCCCCCTCCCCACAACCTTTAAGGTAAGTTCCTTATAATTTATATTAAATTAAAATATTTTGCACTCATGCGCGAAAATATTATTTTTATTTAAGAACTCTCTACCTGAACTTTTTCTCGGTTGAAGCATTGCAAAAAAAACTAAGTGTTGGAAACGACTCTCTTAAATTAATTATTTTGTTTTTTAATGTTAACTCATACTTGGGGAGAATAATATCCATTATTTCATTAAATCAATCCTAAAAGTATTGTTTGTAACGATTAAAGGGTTTATGATAAAAGCAGTGAAGAGAAAAAAAACATAAATTGGTTTATTTTTGCTGTTTTACGATAATCAAAAATTTTTTTAATAAGTCTCGACACAATTTTATACCTTGTTAAACAATAAAATTTTAATGGATAAAAACCGAAAATGGATTAAAATCAGTTTAGAAGAAATAAACATTCAAAAAAATCTACAGATAACTTCAGTTTTTTATTGCAGAGGTACAACAGATATTTTTTTTTAATACAAAATAATGTTTTATCTTTTAATGAATAGTTTAGTCCAGTGTTTCCCAACGTGTGGCACGCGTACCCTCAGGGGTACGGGAACAGTTTAGTGGGAGTAGGCGTTCTTATGCGAAATACCTTGCTACAAACGAAAATTTAAAAAAAAATTAGTTAAAAACAAAGCTAGCCATGAAAATTTACGATGACGTATTTTTCTATTGGCTATTTTTTGCCGAGTTAACAGCTAATATAGTGGTGTCAACAGCCAGTTGGGATTTTTAACTTAATTCTCCATTCTAAATAAACATATTTTTTAAAAAAATACATTCATTTTTTTATGAGTGGCGTTACGAAACATTTAGAAAGGGTAGACAAAAGACATAAGTTTGGGAAACTCTGGTTCAGCCTAATACATAAATACTTCGTAAACGCGCAGAAAGTTATTGAAAACCGGGGTGATTCATTAAATATCTTATTATGAAGATACCCTACAAAACATAAAGTAACACTCGAAAGTAAAGTTTTTTTTTTTAAATAAATTTATTCTTACGCATATTTTGTGTTTAACATTTTGTTTCCCTAAATTTTTGAATTCAATGAAAACATACCAAAACTAAACATAAACGTATATTCCATAAATGCGGCTTGTTTGCTATAATTTTGTTAACAATTTTAAAATTTAATATTAAAAAAAAAATATTAAAAATAAATTTTGATGAGAGCGAGAAAAATCAGAGAGCTACTTTTTGGATATTTTGATGGGACGTACTTTAGAGTCTTTGATTCGATCCATATTATACAACCAATTTATTTGTGTTTTACGGATTGTCTTTTTATAAGCAACATGGTGTTTATAAGAAACTCACCATTAGGCTTTTTATGAATTCGTCTAATTCTCATCAAAAATTCATTCTCTAAAAAATGGCATTTTATTACAACGGCCGCGGTGGCTGAGAGAAACAAAGAAGAGCAAAATGCGCGACACTCGAAATCGGATGAGAAGACCGTTTTCATGTCTCCTCCTCTCCTCAAATGTTTCTTCTCTTCTAAAATATTTTTCGCATTTAGATTGTTATCGATGTTTTTACTTTTTTTTTTAAATATCTTTTTTTAAGAATCATGCTTAATGCAGTGATGAGTTCTGTATCATTTTCAAACTTAATACATTTTAAAATACAGACAGAATCTAACGTACTTAACGTAACGTAGCAAAGGAAGTTTTCATATCATTGATATTAGCTATTGGTTAAAAATAGTGTTGAATCATTTAGTTTTTTGTCTTTCACACGTTTGAAAGATTTCCAGCGTTGCCACTCAAATCTGGAGAAAAAAAATTTCCCAGGACATATTATACTCAATATATTAAGAAAAAACACAACAATTACTGTGCTATAGTGGACTAACTATATTTATTAGTTTTATTGATCGGAAAACAGCTAAACATACTTAAATAATGCTATAGTAAATAAAATAGTTTAGTATAGCTGAAATATCATGGTTAAATATCCCATCGCTGTGAGTGGTCACCATTTTTTAAAAGACAAAACAAAATTCCCTATATTTTCCCAGTTTGCGAAGAAAAAAATCAAAATTCCCTGAATTTTCCAGGTTTTCCCTGTGGAGTGGTAACCCTGATGAACAAACCTTTCTTTTTTTTTTTTTTTTTTTTTTTTTTTTTTTTTTTTTTTNCAATCCAGAAATACGCTATACGACCCAATTTTAATTTTATTTAATCTCTTTTTTCTTTCTAGGTTAAACATAAAATTTTAAAAAAATGCTACGCACAATCTTTGGATTCATTCTTTTGTTCTTCCCACTGATCTGTTTATCTGCAGAGACGACCACGAGTGGCAGTGTCTTTATTCGAAGGAAATCGCCCTCGTCCAGAATGGGGGGCGGTGGGGGACGTCTCTCCCTCATGAATAACCGCTTCAACAAGCGACCCAAGAAGAAACACTTGGATCCCGACCAACTTCTGGATATTTTGGGAAGTTTCTACGATCCACTCTGGATGTCCATTGAAGAGCCCACTCCTCTGGTCAACAAGGATCCTGACCGCGGTGCCACATACGTTTACAGAGAATGGCAACAGGCAGAACTTATAAAGCAGCTTCAGCTGTCTAATCTGAGTCAGGAATTGGCTCAAGCAAATATCCGAGAAATTCCTGGATTGGTCAAAACTGTCGAAAAATGGATGATGAAAAAAGCATCTTGTCCAATCAGGTGAGTGTTAAACACCTAAATTATAAAAAAGAAGAAATTTCTTTTAAGGAGAGAGAGAAAAAAAAAAGCTGTTAGGATGATTTTTTTTTTTTACGCGCGTGTTTTCACGTTGTACATTTTTAAAGCGACAACCTATCCACTTTTTATGCAACGATTTTTCATGAAAGCTTGCTTCTCATATAACTTTCTAAAATATAACTTTCCGACGTTTAAATAAAATTCCGTAACATTTCAAACGCATTTTAACATTTTAAAAGGCTTCGAGGTGACATCCATCCATATCTGAGAATAAATAAAAATAGGTCTGTTATAGATTTTTTTTCCTTAAGGCTGTTTTCCGAATCTCCTGCCACCAAGGAAAATAAAAGAAGCCATAGTTTAAGTGCCTTAAACCGATGCGGTGATTTTTAAACTATAGATATAATCTTGCCGCGACGAATTGTCTGGGCTTTAGAACAGACAACTCACATGTTTTAAAAGTTATTAAACTTTTTTAAAATCGCCAAATTTGACGTAACTTTTTCCCCTGGATGAAAATCATCAAAGTCACTACCTTATTCTCAGTTTTTACACATTTTTATGATCCCAAGTCACGTAGCATTGAAATATGTTTTAAAATATTATAAAACTAGACCACAAACACTTTTCATTTTCACAAAACTGTGGGTTTTCTCAATATGCGCCATTTTCAAAATAAGCGTAGACAGGATCGGCAAAACTTGACCTAACAGTAACTTGAGTACAAAACTAGACCTAACAGTTGCAATCTCACAGCAATTATAAAATTAGCATATTATTCGCTAAAAGAAGAAAAAAAAACATAATTTGATGTGAGGAGTTTGAAAAACAGCTTGAATGGTGTGGCTATCCTTCATTTTAAGTCCAACATCCTAAGACACGATTCTCCAGAGATCACTCGCAGTAGCTGGTCACCTCAAAAGCTCTGTCCTAAAGTAAAGTGCTTCACTCTGGCTACCGAAGAATTAAAATCATCGGATCATCCTCAGGGATGACGTAAGTAAAGCAGGAATTTTTAAATGTCTACACAAAAGTACAGTCCATATTATTAAACGCCCTTCTGTGTAAAATCTTAATTATCGTTTAATACTCTATTACAGTTTTGACGCGGTTTGCACTTGTTTACATACATGTAATGCAATACGTTAAAAATAAATACAAATAGGAAGTATATAAACTCGTGCAAAACATGTCATTATCAAAACACTGCAGTGCGTCTCATCATTTGACCCAATTATTATAATATACTAATAGAATGCTTGATATATTCTATATTTATGTAATATATATCCAATTGTCGAATTTATATTATATATCGTCTCATTTCACCAATGCACAGTGGACCAGCATCCTAGGTTTCGTGGCCAAAATTAGTATTTCAATAAAATTTGTTTCAAAATTTGGGGTTTTTTATTTAGGGGTTTCTACGTGCAGGTAAATTGAATTCATAGTTGAAATTTTGAAGGACACTAAAAGTTCCCAAAACAGCAAAATGGCGGCTGAAATAGGGCGAGCAAAAATTAAAAAATAATATAGTTCGTTTAAATAACTAAATATAGCAATGAAAATATAATAATTTTTGTAAATTTATATTAAAAATAAAAAGCATGAAGAAAAAAAAAACATAATTTTTGCTTTTCGGTATATTTAGTCCACCTTTGCAATACGGGCAAAATGGGGCAGGTTTTTTCGAAAGATGAAACATCAAAGAAGACAACAAAACAAAGTTTAGCTAATTACCTCGTGGAACTTTTTGGAACTAAAATTCGAAAGTCATTCAAACATTGTAAAATGTCAATTGATAAGATACAAACTATAAGTTTGTCAAGAGTATTAATCCAACACATTGAAAACTTGTACTATAATTTAACACCAATTAATCTGATAAAAGTGTAGCATTAAGGTGAAATTCCTATATATATTTCTGAAATAAAAATTTAAAAGTTACATTTAAAACAATTTTTTTAAACATATTTTTCATTAAATTGTTCTCTCGTCAGTCCAAAAAGTAAATTATAATGTTTGGAATGATTATGAATACTTAATTTGGGATATATTAAAACTGCCTACACATATTTTAGTTGAAAAATTGATTTTTTACTTTTGGCCAAAGATCATAGTCTTCTGGCCCGCAGTGCAATGGATACACGAATGTAAACGAGTGCAAACAAGTTACGTAAAAACAATAAAGCTGTATAGAGTATCACCTAAGATTTTACTTAGAATCTTAGAGTGAAGTCTCATCATTTGGACCGTAATTATATCCGCAACATAAAACTTTCTTCCATTGAAGTGATCAGCAAAGAAATAATATTTGCGATCAAAAGTAATTTAGAACAAATCATAAAATAAAAGTTGTGGACAAGATGGCCTATCGACAGGCCATCTAGTCTAGGTGGACGTCGACAGTACCGCCAAGCACTCAGGGGGTCCTTGAAAATCTTAGTTTTTATATATTGTATTTAAAGAAATAAAAGGATAAGCATTGCATTATAAACTTTTATTAAAATAAATATATTCTCGTGTAAAAAGTGTGCATTTTTTTTTCTCTTATCAACTTATTTTCCTAAAAAAAAATTAAAAAAAGAAAAAAAAATGGTGAACCAGCTGCTATCCGTTGGCGGCTAGTTTAATATAAAAATTTTTAAGCGAGCCAAATTTAAACAATCATTTTGATCGAATATTGTCTCTATAAAACTTGTTTTTAAAATTCTTATTTATTTTTGGCAAAATTTTTTTAGATATTTTTTTAGATTAGGGATTATTTGTTTTCAACAACATGAATTCTCAATATTGCTTTTTAAACAAATATTGTATGCTTTGACTGAACTCAGTTTTACATAGAATTTATGATAAAATTATGTTATTAAATGTAATCAAGGCTGTAAAAGGGTTATTAAATATCTCTATCATAAAATGTTGTACACCTAGACCTGCGATTACTATATAATAAAGACATTCGATATTAACAGAAAATAAGTTTTTATTAAATAAAATATCAGTACTTAACCGCTTCCCTTACCCATTTTTCTGAGAAAAAAAAATGCAAAAAAATCAACCTATTTTTTCTTATTTCATTCATAAATGCAAGGAACTAAAACAAAACATAAGATTTAAGTTGAATTTTTAAAATTTTTTTAATTTGTAAAAATTATTTAATTTAAAATCAGTTTACTATCTCAAATGATCTCGGGCCAATGAAAAAAGATGAAATATGAGTCTTTGTATAGGTTACACATCTTCATCATCTGAAAAATCATCTGCATTATTTTCACTTTCGCTAGCGAACGCCATTTTTTTTACTCTCTTTTTCTGTGTCACAGCAGAATTTTGTTTATGTTCCCGGTAGAATAAAGATATGATATAAAAAAAAAAAAAAAAAAAACGTATTGACGCATTCTAATATGACCGAGTTTACTCTGGATAATAAATTGTTGCAAAATACCGGAGTTTACTCGGGATAATAAATCGTTGCAAAATACCGGAGTTTACTCGGGATAATAAATCGTTGCAAAATACCGGAGTTTACTCTGGATAATAAATCGTTGCAAAATACCGGAGTTTACGCGGGATAATAAATCGTTGCAAAATACCGGAGTTTACTCTGGATAATAAATTGTTGCAATATACCGGAGTTTACTCTGGATAATAAATTGTTGCAATATACCGGAGTTTACTCGGGATAATAAATCGTTGCAAAATACCGGAGTTAACTCTGGATAATAAATTGTTGCAATATACCCCGAGTGCAAATGAAGGGATAATTTGAGGGTTAAAATGAATTATTACGCCTACCAATAATATGTGCAGGGTATGTGCTACATTTTAGACTTTAAAATCGATGACTTTTCATGACTCATTCCAAGAATTTTTCATGACTTAACAAAATTAGTATTTTCTCCAACAAAAACGCAACAATAATTTCGAGAAGCATTATAATAACATTTATTGAAATGATAGGTATCACCAAAACTGTTATATTTTGCATTTTCATATTTATAGATTTAAAATTTTAAAAACAGAGTAAAGAAAAAGTCGCAGCAATAAAATAGCTGAAGAAAATACAAAAGCAAATATTTTTCTTCTTTTCTGCAGAATTATATTCTAAAGATACTTTTCTTGTTCATCAGAAAGGAAAGAAATACTCCTGATTTTTCTGTTCTCATTTCGGAATTTAAAAAAAATTCGCCAATGACTGGCTTGCTTCAGCTAGAATTTTAAATTGATAAACTAAAAATAATAAAAATTCTGAAATTACAGAAGTTTAAAAGATAATTCGCTCTAGAAATGATGTTCTTTCTTTCATCTTTTGTACGAACACCCTAATTTTAAAGGGCAGGATAAAAAAATTTTATATTTTAATAAAATATGACTGTGAGTGGAGATTTTATTACAAATTTAGACATTTGGAACACCATGAAATTGGGGAGGGGGTAAATTCTATTTTAAAAATCAGATTTCTCGACGACCTAAATCCATGAATTTCCATTATATTTTTTTCTTCTTTTTTTGAAAAAGAAGTTAAAATCATGACAAATTTTGTTCAATATCGAAATCCATGACTTTCCAGTTGCTCAGATCATGTGATTTGTCTAATGAGAATCCTTTTTATTTTCAGGTACGCGTGGGAAGATATTGGAGCATTATTTTGGCCCCGGTACATCAGACGTGGCGAATGCGTGAGAGCTACCTGTTCTTGGCCTCCTGGAATGCATTGCGTACCTTCTGGTACGACAACGTTGCATCTGTTGAGATGGCAGTGCAAAGTTCCGAAAGGGCGCAGGAAAAACCTCAAGAACAACAATAAAGAACAACTTAAAAACAAAGACCAGAATATAAATTTAAAATGCAGCTGGATACGTGTTCCATATCCAATCACCAACGACTGTCTTTGTACCTGTTAACATTGTAAATACCCGTGATTCAGTGAACAGTCTTTCAAAAATGTGCAACACTTTTATCATAAATAGAATTTTATTTAGACATTTTTTATACGTATTTTAATGATGCCTATTTATTATACTTTTTTCACTGTTAATTACATGAATGCGTAAGAAGGAAGTCAAATAAAAACGTTTAAATAAGAAAGACTTCAAACGATTGCTTCAATGCTTGAAAACATTCTTTTAAGCAAAACCTTTTTTCCTTAAAAATTCAAAATTTGGTGTCCAACAAAACCTTTGACTGTAATGATGTTATGGATTTAAAAATAAAAACATTATGTATAAGAAAAAAACTATTGGAAACTGTTCAAACGATATGGTTAAAAAATTTTATGTCTATATAGAAAATATAAAAATTGGTTTCGATATCTTGTCATTCAAAATAGTTGATTACCAAAAAAAAAAATACAAATATTAAATTTTTGTATTCATAAATAACTCATTATGTAAACAAGTTTATTCGGAAAAAAGTGTTTAAGTTTTCAGAGCCGCGAATGCGTTCATAAACTATCATTTTCAAATTTGCGACTATTTCTATATAGTTTGAGGCTTTATTCCGTGAAGGAAAAAAAAATTTCTTAATTGTTTTGTTTTTTTTTAAAAAAAGATGAAAAAAAATTGGAAGATGGTATATTTTTTTAAAAAATCGATTCATTATACCAGTGTTCCGCAGTAATGTTTATATTTATTACCAATCAATGATCCATAATTTTTTTAAATGACAGTTACTCCTATGAATTTTATTAAGTTAAATAAATGACAATGAACAAAAAATAGTAAAATTTATAAAATCTTGGATTTTCTGTTCACTATTTTACTCTCATTTATCATTTGTCTATTTCTACTTAAACGTCAATATTTTTCCCGAACTTTCAGGAGGTATGCAATTAATTTATCTTTATGTTAGAACATTTTGTTAATCTGGTAATCATGACGAAACGGACTGTTGACCTAGATTTAAAAAATAATCACCTGAAGTTGCTAAAAGAAAAGAAAAAAAAGTTTCACCTTAAGTACACAAAATGTGTGAAAAGATGAGAAAAAATTTATGCGAACTAATTTTAGCCGTTGTTAATACGAAACTAATAACAATTCAAATAGGAAATTATTCTGAACACTGCTCGTTTTTTTTTCTTTTCCTAAATTACATTATGAATGTTAAGATTTAAATATGTCAATACGCAATCTCTCTCTCTCTCTCTCTCTTTTTTTTTTTTTTTTTTTTTTTTTTTTTTNTTTTTTCCAATTTTGATCGATAACTACTTGAGCTCGAGTTTATAAAATAAAGATCTAGTGAAGGAGAAATAGTCAACATTTGAAGAAAAAAAGCACTCAATTTGCAACAAAAAATCTCTCGTTTAAAAAATTAAATCTCTTGTTAAAATTATAATACAAAAGCACATTAATTTTCAATTCTGTATTTGCATTTCAACAAACAGTAGATCAACAAACATTTATTTTTATTTTAACTACAAGTTTAACAGTTTATATATAATTCTCAAACTAACAATCGAATCTACAATTTTTTTGTATTCCCTCGTACTCTTAGTACACTTTCCTACACACCTTTTTCATTCACAAGTCTTATAGATTTTGAATTGCAAAGCAAAATATAACGAACAACAACAAAAAAAGTGATAAAAAATTTTCAAAAAGAACTTTAAAATTGCAATAACTTTTTAACTACTTCAAAAAAAAAAAAAAAGCATTCTGCATTAAGTTCATAATCAAACGCGATCTCTCAGCATGCTCAATTTTAACTCCCTGGTTGCCTTCCTGCATCCTGCACAGCGGTCCGTATGGTATTTTTTCTCAGCAAGTTTAACAGTAGGATTAATTTTTCATTCCATCTGAATGTCTGTTCTACACACACTCCGTAATTTTAAGTTTAAAAATTTTATAGTTTTGACTCAGTAAAGCAAACTGTGACGCTAATTTGAACAGCCACAGAGGGTGGCACTTGCGATTTTGTAACTAAGGAGATTTCGATAACAATAAATTATGAAAAGGATATAATATGTATTCCATTCAAAACAAAATTCAGGAATCTCAACGCCTATAAAGCAGTTCTTTTTTTGAAAACCGTCTGACGGATAATGTTATTCATTTTCAGCCAATACATACACACATTCAAAATACTAAGTACAGTGAACTCTAGCTACTACGACATCCGATACAACAATAACTCCCTCTATTGCAACTATGTTTCGTGATCCCGATGAACTTCCATATGAATTAATGTTTACCTCCACTCAATAGTGCGATATTCTCCAACGCAATAAACCCTTGTAAAACGATGTTTTTTCCCTTCCAAATATCAACTTTATTTTTTCCATTTATTATTGGTTTTCGAATAATGTAAAAAATCTTATGTTATCATCTTTTGACAAGAGTAGTCCCAATTATGTACATTCTTTTCATGAATGGCTTTTGATTCCAGATTTCAATACTCCATCCTTGATCAGTGTTGCCAGGTGCCGATAACCGCTCACCCCCAGATAACGTTGAAAAATCNTTCCGTTTTTATCTACTACATATGTCTTAATTTTTTGGAGACATATAGCGACATATCTAGATTTTAGTATTGCTCGGATATATCCGTCTGTTGCATCATGTGTGCATATTTTATCCAAACTTTCTGCCACAATTTTGCTTCACATTTCCACACAGTGTTGCCAGATGCTGATAACCATTCACCCCCAGATGGCATTGTAAAATCCCCTAAAAATTTTTAAAAAACCCCAAAATTTTTAACTTAATATATAAGTATTAAAAAATAGTACAAAAGTTAAATAATGTATGGAAAACGTTGCTTTAATGTTTTATTATCAACAAATTAATCTTTTTTTTTATATTTCAATCGTTACATTTTCTTTAAGTTCTACTAAAATATTTAAGATATTTTTTCAATGTTTTTTGACTCACACATTGTTTCATAAATATTTTATTATCAACGATATAGTCTTTTTAATATTTTAATTCTAACATTATGCTTAAATTTCTGATTAAACATATTTTCGTCAATACTTTCTGATTCGTATATGTTTTCGCTGTTAAACATTTTTAACATAGAAGAAGTAGATACAAAATCCTTTACCCTTAAACCTTTAAACTGCTTTTCGTGTTCCCAATCTTTCTTGTACTTTTGTACGTACTTCTTTTTTTCTTTATCCTTTGGCATTATTTTTAAACCATGCACATTAAAAATTTTAAATAATTTGAATTCAAATTCTCCAAACGTACTGGTTGATCGAGCTAAGTAATAACCTACTACATTCAACAAAGGGGTAAAGGTCTAAAATTATATCTTAATCTTTTTGTTTTGGTTTAACATATTGATTTTCATATTACCATCTCACACATTCAGTTTTAAAATTTGATATTTGAACGTAACCAAAATGAATTTAGTAAAATTCACGAATAACCCTAAAACAAACCCCTAAAAACAAATTCCTCTAAAATACCCACTGAAGATAAAAAAATCCCCCTAAATTTAGGGGGAAAACCCCTAATTTGGCAACACCGTCCTTGATGTACATAGATCAAGACCTTCCATTCTTGCCTCCCTTATAAGAAGTCACTGATTGAACTCTGCAAATTAAATTTTTTTTTATATAACCCATCAATAGATTTATAGTTAATACATAATATCTTATTGTGTCCCCAAACATCCCTTTACAACAGTGTTTCCCATACTTTTGTCTACCCTTCCTAACCTTTTCGTAACGCTGTGTACCACTCATAGAAAAATGAATGTATTTTTTACTATAAAAAAAAAAATTGCACAAAAGTCACAACTAGCTGTTGACACCACTGATTGTCGATTCTGCAAAAAATAGTCCATTGAAAAATACGTCATCGTAAATTTTTATGGCAAGCTTTATTTTAAAATAAAATTTTTTGAGATTTTCGTTTTGTTGCATGATATTTCGCATAAGAATGCGTACCCCCTCTAAACTGTTCCCGTACCCCTGCGGGTACCACACTTTGGGAAACACTACTCTACAACACTATATTTATTGGATCCCCGAAATAGCGAGGTTTTACTGTATTTCACATTCAATATTTTCAAAGCCATTTTTTTTTCCCGGTTATAATGAGGGTGTTCCGCCGAAAGAAGTTGGAACATTTGGAGCTGGTATATAAAATTTAGATTTGCTTTCTTTCATTTAAGAAAGAGGAGGAGAAATAGCGGAGGAGGTGTGAGCTTCCGACAAAAGGGCGCGCGTACACTATGGATGACGCCTCTGAAGGGTGGGTGGTTGGTGGGGCGCCCACCTGTGACCTTGCACGAGGTGGCGGTGGTACAGGTGCTTCTTTTTTTTCCTCCCCCCCTCTCTCTCTCTATGATTAGAAACAAAACACTCTCCTTTAAAATAAATATAGTTATTGACATTCTAAACCAGTGAATTTCCTGTGTTTGATAGATGGATTCCCAGCGATATAAATTTTGTTCCATTTAAATAGTGAACGGAACCCTTTTTCCGAAGTGCATGCTGCTCATTCAGGTGTTATTGCCGAATAAATTAAGTCACTCCCCCCGTGCTCCAGAATTTCACATTTTAAGAGTGTTGTATAGTTTGTGTTCCAATCATTGAATCATTTCTTGGTTTTACGATAATGAATTTTTAACACCACACCCAGAAGCATGGTGACAAACTTCCATAGGTATTTAGATGGAACTATTAGTGTTGTTATAGGGAGAGGAAAACCTTCCACAGTTAGCTCGAAGGCAGGGTGAGTGATGACCCTCATCGAACATTCCAAACAGTGTCTTGAAATGAATCCTTAATATGGCCCATCTATCTTTCTCCTCAAATTTTTATAACAAACATTACGGAGATCAGATAATCCGTTTCATGCATTGGTTTTCACTTTAAGGAAAATTTTATATACTAGAGGAGTTGCGCCCCCCCCCTGCTCTCTGACGCTCGCCAAACCCCGAAAATTGCTACGCAATCTTATATGGTTTGCTTCGCAAACCAACCTCGCTTCGCTCACTACTAACTTAGGTACATTGCAAATACACAAAATTCTAAGGATTCAAAACAATCAATCAAATCCATATAACAACTTTTTTTTTTTAAAAAAATTTCATCTTTTTAGTAAATATTAAATCATTAAAATAAATTTGAATTCAAATAA